ACAGAAAGCGAAGGGTTGGAATAAACAGATCCTTTTCAAAGTGGCAGGCAGTGACCAGCGGGGTGTCTTAGGGTTCAGTGCTGGGACACAATAGATATTAATGATTTGGATGAAGGAATTGTATGCAGTATCTCCAAATTTGCAGATGACATGAAGCTGGGTGGCAGTGTGTGCTGTGAGGAGGATGCTAAGAGGCTGCAGGGTGACTTGGACAGACTGGCTGAGTGGGTAAATACTTGGCAAATGCAATATAATGTGGGAAAACTTTGGTGGCAAAAACAGAAACGCAGATTATTGTCTGAATGGTGGCAGTTTAGGAAAGGGTGAGGTGCAACGAAACCTGGGTTTCATGGTGGAACAGTCACTCAAGGTTGGCACACAGATTCAGCAGGTGCTGAGGAAAGCAAATGGTATGCTGGACTTCACAGTGAAAGAATTTGAGCAGGAATGTCTTGCTGCAGTTAAACAGGGCCTTGGTGAGGCCAAACCTTGAGTATTGTGTGCAGTTTTGGTTTCCTAGTCTGAGGAAGGACATTCTTGCTACTGAGGGAGTCCAACGAAGGTTCACCAGACAGATTCCCGGGATGGCAGGACTAACAAATGAAGAAAGACTTGACTGGCTGGGCTTGTACTCGCTGGAATTTAGAAGAATGAGGGGGGAATCTCATTGAATTGTAAAATCCTGTTGGGACGGCACAGGCTTTATGCGGGAAGAATGTTCCTGATGTTGGGGAAGTCCAGAGTTAGGGGTCACAGTCTGAGAATAAGGGTAAGCCATTCAGGACTGAGATGAGGTAGAATTTTAGAGTTGAAAACGTGTGGAGTTCTCTCCCACAGAAAATTGTTGGGGGCAAGTTCGTTAGATATATTCAAGAGGGACCAGGACCTAGCCCTTATGGTTAAAAGGGTTAGGGGATATGGAGGGAAAGTGGGAATGGGATACTGAAATTGCATAATCAGCCATAATCATATTGAATGATGGTGCAGGCTCAAAGGGCGAAATGGCCTACCCCTGCACCTATTTTCTATGCTTCTATGAATGTTAAGGGATGGTGGTTAGATTGTCTTTTATTGGTAATGGTCATTACTTGGCATCTGTGTAGCACAAATATTTCTTGCCACTTGTCACCACAAGCCTGGATATTGTGCAGATCTAGTTGCATTTGAACAAGGACTGCTTCAGTATCTGAGTGTTGCAAGTGGTGCTGAACATTCTACATTCATCATTGAACATCCTCACGTCTGACCTTATGATGGAGAGAAGGTCATTGACGAAGCAGCTGAAGATTGTAGGCTTAGAAAGTACCCTGAGAAATTCCTGCATAGATGTCCTGCAACTGAGATGACGGACCTCCAAAATCACCTTCTATGTGTCAGGTATGACTCCAACCAGTGGACAACTTGCCCCCGATACCCTTTGATTCCAGTTTTGCTAGGGCTCCTTGATGCCACAGTTGGTCGAATGCAGCTTTAATGTCAATGGCTGTCACTCACCTCACCTCTGGAATTCAGCTCTTTTGTCCATGTTTGAACCAAGGCTAGAATGAGGTCAGGAGCTGAGTGACCATGGCAGAACCCAAACTGGGCGTCACTGAGCAGGTTATTTCTGATCAGGTGATTTCTGATCAGGTGCTGTGTGATAGCACTGTTGATGACACCTTCCGTCACTTTACTGATGATCGGGAGTAGACTGATGGGGCGGTAATTGGCCGGGTTGGATTTGTCCTGCTTTTTGTGTACAGGACATACTTGGGCAATTTTCCACTGTCAGGTAGATGCCAGTGTTGTAATTATACTGGAAGAGCTTGGCTAGGGGAGCAGTATTTTCTGGAGCACATCTTCAGTACTGTTGCTGGAATGTTGTCAGGGCCCATAGCATTTGTAGTATTCAGTGTCTCCGACCGTTTCTTGATATCATATGGAATGAAACGAATTGGCTGAAGACTGGTATCTGTAATGCTGGGGACCATTGGAGGAGCCCGAGATGGATCATCCACTCTGCACTTCTGGCTGAAGATTGCTGCGAAAGCTTCAGCCTTATCTTTTGCACTGATGTGCTGGGCTCCTCCATCATTGAGGATGGAGATATTTGTGGGGCCTCCTTCTCCAGTGAGTTAACTGTCCACCACCATTCATGACTGGATATGGCAGGACTGCAGAGCTGACATCTGATCCATTGGTGTGGGATCGTCTATCTATCTACCACTGGCTGCTTATGCTGTTTGCAAGTAGTCCTGTTTGGTGGCTTCACCAGATTAACACCTCATTGTTACATATGCCTGGTGCTGCTCCTGGCATGCCCTCCTGCACTCTTCATTGAGCCAGGGTTGATCCCCTGGCTTGATGGTAATGGTTGAGTGGGGGATATGCCAGGCCATGAAGTTACAGATTGTGCTGGAGTACAATTCTGTTGCTGTTGATAGCCCACAGCACCTCATTGATGCCCAGTCTTGAGTTGCTAGATCTGTGCGAAGTCTGTCCCATTTAGCACAGTGAGACTGCAACACAACACGATGGAGGTTATTCTCAATGTGAAGGCAGGACTTCGTCTCCACAAGGACTGTGCAACGGTCGCTCTTACTGATACGGTCATGGACAGAGGCGCCTGTACCCGGCAGATTGGTCAGGATGAGGTCAAGTATTTTTTTCCCTCGTTTGTTTCATCATCGCCTGCCATTGGCCTAGTCCAGCAGCTATGTCCTTTAGGATCTGGCCAGCTCAATCAGTGATGTTGCTGCTGAACTACTCTTGGTGGTGGATATTGAAATCCCCACCCTTGCCACCCTCAGAGCTTCCTCCAATTGTTCAAAATGGAGGAGTACGGATTCGTCAGCCAAGGGGTGGGACAACACATATCCAGGGATGGTGATGGTAGTGTCTGGGACATTGTCTGTAAGGTATGATTCTATGAGTATGACGTCAGTCTGTTGCTTGACCAGTCTGTGAGACAGCTCTCCCAATTTTAGCACTAGCTCCCAGACATTAGCAAGAAGGATTTCACAGGGTTAACAGGGCTGTTTCTGCCGTTGTCCTTTCTAATGTCTAGGTCGATGCCAGGTGGTCTGTCTGGTTTCATTTCGTTGTTGAGACTTTATAGTGATTGATATAACTGAGGGGCTTGCTAGGCCATTTCAAAAGGCACTTCAGAGCCAAACACATTGCTGGGGTCTGAAGTCACGTATAGGCCAGACCAGGCAGATTTCTTTCCCTGCCAGATGGGTTTTTCCAAAAACTAACAATGGTTTCACAGTCATCAGTGGATTCTTAATACCAACTTTTTAAAAATTGAATTCAAATTTCATCTTCAAACTGGCAGGGTTTGAACCTAGGTCCCCAGAACGTTAGCTGGGTTTCTGGATTAATAGCCTATCAATAATACCACAAGACATCACCTATACTAACATGCCCTGGAGATCAAACTCCCAAACAGTGACAGACATTCAAGACCATCATTTTGCTATTGATAAGCCTAGTCCCATACAACGTGTAATTCCCAGTGTACAGATCTTTACAGCTCCCAGTGTACAGGCTGCACCTGTTGTAAGGAGAACTGCATTGACACCGGTATGACACTGCACTAAAGATATATTCAGAATTTCCGATTCAAATATTTGAGAAAATATAAATATTAATTTCAGACTGAACTCTCTGCCTTTGTTACTGCTCCTCTGGTCAATCCATGATTTCAGTTTCTTGAGCTGTTTTCTGGACGAAGGTTGCATCAGTCTTGTTTCTCAGTTATTGTGGGCTGTTGTAGAAATGTCATTCTAACCTGCCCTGGATGGTTGTGGACACTGGAGCTAGTTTTGTCATTAGGGCCTAGGTTAGTGTCCCAGTTTCTGACACAGCATCATTGCTGGTCAGAAAGCAAGCATGATCTTACAGTACTCACAGCCAGGGCCTGTCAGTGGGAGGTATCGGACTGCTGATGCAGAGTTCTTAAAGAACTTCTACTGTTCATCTGGAGCAAGACACTAAACCAAGAGATAGTGAACTAACTCAGGAGCAGAATTCCACAACTCTGTCACAACCTTGCTCTCCATTTAATCTCTCAACTCCCAAACAGATCAACGATCTGATTCTGACAATTTGTTCTACAATATCTCAGGAATGAGGTAGCCCAGGGGCCAGAGGACAATAATCTTTTTATTAATTTATTCCCAAACTGAGAGTGTCACTGGCTGGGCCAATACTTATTGCCCGTCCCTAACTGCAGTCTACGTGCTGTAGGTAGACCTGCAATGCTGTGAGGGAGTGAACACTGAAGGAGTGACAATATACTTCCAGGTCAGGATGGTGAATGACAATTTATGCTCAATACAATGATGCTGAAAATGGTTAAAATATGGAAGCAGAAAATGGGAGCTAGCCAGGATCTTGGGCTGAACTTTAACAGAATAAATAACAATCTGTGAGCTACAAGCCAGCATGAGCGACACGTCACGAGATCAAACCGTAGGTAAACAACTCAACAACTAGGTCACCAGATGCCCGCTGTTAACTTCCATGGCTAAAGAAAGGCTGGAACTATTAATACTAACTCCAGAAAAAGTCAAAGGCAGATGCCACTTCTCCAGTCTGGCAGTTATGTCAGCAGGGAGCTTGTCTGAGCTGCAGATTAGCAGATGGTGGTGCACAATGTGGGGGGATATTGGAAGAAGCAAGGTCAAACAACACTCCTTGCTGCAGCTTACTCAGTCACTAATGACAAACTGATCTTAAATATCGTGTCAGTCTCACTTACCCAATGTCAAAATAAGGCAGCAGGTCTGGGACCCAGAGATATGAAGGAGGTGCTGCACTGTCAGTCTTTCAAAAATTTGTTAAACTAAGTCCCATCTGTTGTTTGCTCAATTCTATCATGCACCAAGCCATCAGAAAGTTACTCAATTCGAACACAAATCAATTCTATAATGCTTTATAAAGAGGTACTCACTTTGGAAATATTCCCCAAAGAGTCAGAATCAGTGAACCCATATCCCAGTGAGAGTCAGTGCATGTATAGGATTGTATCCCAGTAAGAGTCAGTGCATGTATGGGATTGTACCCCAGTAAGAGTCAGTGTGTGTGGGGGAGCCTGTACTCCACGAAGTCAGTGTGTTTACCCCAATAAGAGTAAGTGTGTACGAGACTGCTCCCACACCCCCAAATGAATGCTGTTGGACACGAGAGATGTGTCCTTCTGCTTTCAGTACGCTTAGGTTCTGATGTCAGTTCAGTCTTCTGGCAGTGAGACAGCTGGTTATACCAAAGCTGCCAGATTCCTCTATACACTGCTAGCCTCTGCCAGGCCAAGATATTCAGCATTCTCTGCTGTTGCAACCCGGATGTATCCGTTGGGTTGTGTTAGTGTCGGGGTAGCAGGGATCAGGCAAGGAGAATTCCCAGAGCGCAACCTGCTCTGGAGATCCGGTGCCCAATAATCAGGATGATCAAATGGCAGGTCCTTGTTCCCAGACAGACTCGGTTGACTTAGATATTCAGGATTTTCCACGGTGTTTCTGAACAAACCTTTTGGGATTAGGGACCCATTCCTGCCATTACCACGAGCCAGAGCTTGGCTGGGAGATAAAGTTTCATCTGCCTGGTTTATGTAGTCTGACAGGAAACAAAAGACAAAGATTAGAAGCAAAATCAGGTCATAGTGGTGCCAAAGGACAGACCCAGATCTCATCAGATGCACCCTCCGTCCCACCTCCCACATTAAGAATCAGCAATGGACTAATTGAAGTGAGTCGGTGGGAGAAGGAACAAACATCATTGACATTA